GCCTACGTGGAGAAGCTCGGGAAAACGTCGCATCATTGTTGAGCACCGCGACGCACCCCGACGAGATCATGCGAACATTGGAGCAATGCTACGGAAGGCCAGAAAGACTAGTGGACATGGCTTTCGCCGATCTACGGAGGCTGCCGAAGATTGGACCTACCGCGAACGATCTTAACATGTTTGCGGTAAAGCTACAGAACATCGTGGCCGTCCTGAGGAACGTGCAGCCAGAGTACCTGCTTAACCCACTGCTGACCCGGGAAGTCTTAGACAAGATGCCAAGTTACCTTGTATCGAGTTGGTGCAACTTCGCCGAGTCACAGCCGGGCCCGAACGCCGATCTACTCAAACTTTCATCGTTCCTGATGAAGGAAGCTGACCGCTGCATGCGATACAACTATGTATCGAACCTCACCGCACCCTCCACATCGCAACGAACACGAGAAACGCCTCGCCCCGCCCCCAGACCGGAGGCTAAGAAGAAGACGGTGTACGTCGCCACCGAAGAAGCACCGCAGCGCAGATGCCTTTCATGCCAGGAAGCCCACACACTACCTAGCTGCCCAAAGTTCAAGCAGCTAACGTATGATGACCGATGGGAGCTGGTGAAGAAGGAGGGCCTTTGCTTCAAATGCATCGTGGGCCGACACCGTCGATTGAACTGCCGACAGAAGCTCTGCGGAATCAACGGATGCAAGCGACCGCATCACCGACTGTTGCACGCAGATGAGCGTGGAACGACGAACGACGTGGCTACGAGCGCGACCGACTCAAACGCGGCCGCAACGGAACCAGCCACCACCGAAACGACGACGGCTGCCACGACGACAAGCCGCGCCGTCAAATTGAAGATTTGCCCCGTGACAATCACGGGCAAACGTGGGAGCTGCGACACCTACGCGCTCTTCGACGAAGGCTCGACGGTCACCTTATTAGACGACGACCTGGCGCGACAGATCGGCGCCGACGGACCGACCGCACAGCTCAACGTCCGAGGAATAAACAAGAAGCAAAGTCACGTGCAGAGCCGTCGAGTGAAGATTGGAATAAAGGGAACGCGCAGTGACCAGATCTTCAAAATCAACGCTCGCACCATGGTGGGCCTGGACCTCACGCCGCAATCGATACCGGCGGAGGCGATGAAGCTACGACACCTTAGAGATCTCGACGAGCGAGAAGTCGTATACAAGAATGCGAAGCCTCGCATTTTGATCGGGACGGACAACTGGGAGCTCATAGTGACCCGCGAACTACGGTCAGGAAAAACCAAGGAACCAGCTGCCTCCAAAACCGAACTCGGATGGGTAATCCACGGGACGGCGCCATCGAGATCGCTTCGCCGCACCGAGGATATCCTACATGTCGTCACGACCGAAGCATCAGACGACCGACTCGAAGAACTCGTGTCGAGACACTTCCGGATCGACTCACTCGGAGTGTCGCTCGACGCATCACACGTCCGCGAAGAGGACAAGCGTGCCGTCTCCACGTTCGAACGCACCGTGAAGCACAAGGACGGCAGATACGAAGTGGGCCTGCCTTGGCGAAACGACGACGCCAAACTGCCACGGAGTTACGACTCAGCACTCCGCCGGCTCACAAATCTGGAGAACAAGCTGAAGAAAGATCCACGCGACATGGAAGGAATACCAGCGGAGGATCGACAACCTACGTAGAAAAAGGGATACGCCGAACCCTGCGACGGCTCCGAGGACGCAAGCCCCGTCGCATGGTACCTGCCGCATTTCGCCGTCAAGAATCCCAATAAGCCCGGGAAGCTGCGACTGGGTTTCGACGCGGCAGCAAGAATTCGAGGTGTCAGCCTGAACGATCACCTACTCGAAGGGCCGGATCTGCTACGATCGCTGCAGACCATTCTATTCCGGTTCCGAGAGGGCGCATACGCGGTGACAGCTGACATCGAGGAAATGTTCCTGCGGATCAAGATACGCCGCGAGGACCAACCCGCACAGATGTTCCTGTGGCGCGACTGCAGGCAGAATGAACCACCGCGCAAGCTGAAGATGACATCGATGATCTTCGGCGCATCGAGCTCACCGTTCCTCGCACACAGCGTGAGGGACCACAACGCGAGACAGCATGCTGAGACGCACCCTGCAGCACTGCGCGCAATCACCGAAGCGCACTACATGGATGACTTCGTCGACAGCTTCAATGATCCGAGAGAGGCCCACGAAGTCATCACCCAAGTCGACGCAGTGCACCAGAAGGCTGGATTCCACCTGAGGGGATGGAACAGTAACAACAGGAAGCTACTACAAGCCGTGAACCCGGATAGTAGAGCCAAAAGCGGGACTACGACGTTTGGAGACGCAGAGAAGACATTGGGCCTGCTTTGGGATGCGAGTACCGATCGGCTGGGCTTCAACACCGCCCTGCCTAGAGTCCCACTGCCAGTGAAGTCTCGACAACGCCCGCCGACGAAAAGAGAAGCATTATCGACGGTGATGAGCATATACGATCCGCTCGGACTGCTCAGCTGCTTCACAATCACAGCGAAGATAACTCTTCAAAAACTCTGGCGCCTCAAGACCGGCTGGGACGACCCTCTACCATCCGACTTGAGCGAGGACTTCGATGCATGGTTGACAAGCCTGCCAGCAATCGACCAACTACGGCTACCCCGTAGTTACAACGGGGGGAGAGAAGTGCGTCGCCGTGAACTTCAAATATTCTGTGACGCCAGCGAAGAGGCCTACGCAACGGCGGCGTATTGGAGGTTGTACTACGGACCCGGCCATGTCATCGAGACAGTCCTGATAGCGGCAAGAGCTAAGGTCGCGCCCTTGAAGACCCAAACCGTACCGCGCCTGGAATTTCAAGCGGCACTACGAAGAATGGCAGCACGACGAGGATGGCCCGCCGTAATATACAGTGACAACGGCACTAACTTCCGAGGGGCTGACACCGAGCTCAAGAAGGCGTACACCGAGTGGCTTCCCGAGCTGAAGAGAGAGGCGATGAACTACGATGCCACATGGAAATTCATCGCGCCGGGAGCACCTAACCAAGGCGGAGCCTGGGAGCGCATGGTTCGCTCCGTGAAAACCGCGCTCAACGCCACATTAAACGAACGAGCACCGAAAGAGGAGGTCCTGCACACTCTACTGGCCGAGGCGGAACATGCTGTCAATTCGCGACCACTGACGCATGTCTCCGTAGACCCAAGCGATCCGGAGGCGCTAACCCCAAACCACTTCTTGTTGGGGTCATCGACCGGCCTTCCATACACCGGGCCATGTGAAGAGGGCGACCGCAGGACTTGGAGGGCGACGCAAGCACTAGCCGACGCCTTCTGGAAACGCTGGCTACGAGAGTACCTACCGACCCTCGTACCACGCCGCGACCCACAACGTCCACGAAGCAGCGAAGTACGGACCGGAGACGTGGTTATCATAGCCGACCACGCTCTGCCTCGAAACACGTGGCCACGCGGCATCGTAGCCAATACCTACCCTGGACCTGACGGCGTGATTCGGAACGTGGAGATAACGACAAGAGGAGGAACATTTCGGCGGCCGACATCGAAGCTGATCGTCGTCGAACCTGCACTCTCCACGGAACGATGAGAGAGGACGCGCTGCGCGACGGGCACGGGGCTGCCAACCGGAGGAGGCTGCGGAGATCCTTCGCCGGGGGGAGACTGTTGACGACAGCCACGTGCCGAAAAATGTACAGATCGAACGACCAATCACAGCGCCTACATTTGCGGAATTCTCAGGGAGCCCATTGGCTGCGTATGCGCCGTCCGCACGGTGGGGGCGATTCCCCCACCCGGCGCGCGGGCGTAAAACGCGCTGTGATTGGTCGGCCGCCGCGCGTCACTAGTAGCTAAGTTAGATGTTAAGTGTAGAATAAGGGTAGGGCCAAATTTGTAAATATTTGTAGTCAAGTCAAGTCAGTCAAGCAGTATAGTCAAGCAGTAATAAGTAGCCAGTAAGAAGAAAATACAATAAATCGTCTATAGAAGAAATTCGTCTTTGTTTTCACCATCATCCACGGTTATACAGCATCGTCTACAGTTTGGTCCATAGAGCCGGATCAGCACCCTCAACAGAAATAAAAAATAATCTTAGGTATAAAAACGTTCGATCAATCTTCTGCTAATTTTATATAACATAAGAATTCCGTCTCATCTAAAGCCAAAGGATTTTGGAGACATCGCCTGTTTCTGGCTATTTGCCGTCGCCTCACCATAAGGTGTCGATGTTCAAGCACTGTTAAATCTAATGCTAAATATGCTTCAGCCATCACGTTTTAAATATGTTTATGACTAAATTTCCGATATAAATACCTCGAAATACCGTGAAATATCGAAAAAAATATTATTAGCGATCACAAAAGTCACTTATCGAGCTGTCAAATTTGGTCGCTAAGGAGCTAGCGAAATTCGTTAATTTGACAGTTGAACTCGCTACGCTACCGACAAAAATCGATAACTTTAAATGTAGAGACTTGCAATATTCGTTAAATTACGTTCGCTATGAGTTAGCGACCGAATTCGGTGACATTGCGTTCGCAAACTGTGTCGAGACTACCGCCCCTGGACGCCATTGTTTATTAAGCCAAAAAAGTTTCTATTCTGGCCATTGTGACGGCCTTTTGTTTTATGCAATACCCGCGCTTTTGGATACTTCCTAGCCTTCGTTATGTCGGTAGATTTGAATTTGAACGTATGAATATGTAGATGTGTATAAATATACCTTATCCTTATGTTACATTTTGTGTTTAGAGACAAGTATAAAAAAATATTTATGAATCAATTTGACCGGCTCCAAATTTACGCGTCTTTCAAATCGGGACAGAAACTTGATATTAAGTTCCTTTTTGGTGCCCTTCTGACATAAGGGCTTGAAGAGTCAACTGACTCTTGAAACTTGTATAACTATACAGGTTTCTAAGATTCTAGATCTCATTAAACCAAGTTTCGATGTAATTTAAACCCAGTTTTTATGTATTCTAAACTTTAAACAACGCACATTGCATATTCGGTTTTTCCTGTAAGTCGAAATGATTTCTAAACATAAATAAAAGCAAACAATTATTGATATTATCAAATTATTTTAATAAAACAACCCGTTTTCTGCCAGACGCATCTCCACCACCCGTACTACTTGTCGTGTTCAAGAACTGTATATGTATTTCCACTAATTGCCTCACCAAGTTTGTAGTATCCACGTTAGTGTGGACTATCAATTCGAATATCTTCAGTTGTTCTAAAGTCTTCCATTCATCTTTGTGATGTACCGCTACATTAAATAACTCATTCAAAACGTCTCTAGCCTTCTTAATCATGCTAAATATAAAACCTGCTTTGTATGGTGCATTTTCTCTATATCTTTTTTTAATATGATTTATAGATTTAATTCTTCTGTCTGTATCATGAACGGTTTGCTCCACTAGAGTAGAGATTTTCATTTTTATATCTGCGTCCTTCTCACGCTGACTGTAACCTTCTCTACGTATAATTGGATTATTATTTCTGAATAGAAAATTCCTGCGTATCATACCATTGTCTGTTGTACTCTTGACTGGTGGATAGTTTCGTTCTTCAACATAATCGTCTTCTTCGTTATTTGTTTCATCTTCTTCGTTATTATTTCCGTCATCTCCGTTATTCTTCTCGTTTTCTTCATTACTGTGATAAGATCGCATGTTTGTGTTGGGGATATCGATAAAATTCAAGCTTATACTTGGTTTCATAACACATAATGTACCTTTAACATGAATTATATAATTATACAAGGTTTACAGTTAGATAATTGGCGTAGATAATTTGGATATTTTGAATATAAATTTTAAGAGCACTTCAAGATGTTAGGTATTTTATAGTAAGTACCTACTGATTAAATTATATTATAATAAAAATTATATGTGTTAAAATTTCCAATCATTATTTTATAAAGGTTTTTAATCATTTGTTCATTTAAAACTATATTATCATTCCCCTTAAAATTACTATCAAGAAAAAGCGTATTTTTTATAAATCCCTAACTAACACTTATATTCTTAATGAAAAATGCTTAAATAATCTGCTTTGTCCCTAGCGAAAGGTCATGAGTTCGAATCCTATCTCAGAGTGCCAGGGACAAAGTGGAATTCAAGAATTTTTATTTTTATTAACAATTTTATTTCAGTATAGCATTGTGAATGCAAATTGATCAAATATAATAAGACTTACATATTATCATAGTGCCAACTGCTAACTTCATATTGTAATTTTATATTCAGTCATCATTCAGTGTTGGATCATAATTTCTTAGGCAAATGATTATAAAATTGTGCTAAGAAATAATTTTACGGTATCGTTTGGATTCTTTACGACTACTTTTTAATTAGTAATCAAATTTTGATTAACTGGTAATATTCTGTTTGTAATCGCTGCCCATTTATTAGGTAAAATCATTTTATACATTAAACAATACGCATCGACCAAAAATTATACAAATTAAATCAAGTAAAACCTAGGAACAAATTATGACTTATAAGTAAAACAGTCACATCTAAGAAGCTTTAAGAAGTTTAGATATCTAAAAATCATATCTCTTTTTCATGAATTTGTTTTGTTATTATTTTGAGGAATTTTTAAATTATATACTTTTACTCTTTGTTTTAAATCTATGAGATCTATGCGATTCTCTTTAAATGTCAGTGTACATAGAGACAAATTTTATGTTTAAGTCAGTGTCAAAATTGATCGTTAAATAAATACAATATTGTTTCACTCATTTAATTTTCATTTTACATATAGAAAATAATTTTACTAATTTAATCACTTGACATTGGCAGAATTGTGCGAAACGCGCAAATAAGACATTAATAAAAGAAAAAGAAGTAATATAATGTTTCTAAAGTTTGCACCAATGTTAATAAGTAAATTACCAAAACATTGGAACATTGGTGTACTAAACCACAGAAAATGTCATAGTTTATTTGGTTTCAAAGAATTATTGCAGCAAGAAAAGGTGTGTTTTATTTAATACCTTTATAGGTCATAGGAAGGGTCACCAAAAATGTATTCTGTGCTTCGAAGAGCATGTTAATCCGTTGGTCTAGGCTGCATTTGCAGTTTATAGCAGTCACCAATTCGTACTGGGCTTTCGTGGTTGGTCATGCCCATTCTCCCTATTCGATTTAACGATTCCCTCCATAGAAAAGGCCTATCTCTTTTAATAGGCTGGTGAGTATTTCATATTACCTAACACTAAATATATCTTTTCCATTTGGAAATAAACTTATGCTTTTGTGATCAATTCCTTCTTTTAACACAAAAGCATTTGCAAAGTTGCGGTACAACAGTAATTTTACAAATATTAATAAATTCTTTGAAAATTTGTATTCGAATGTAATCAATGTAAAGTTGGTAAATTATTTAATTTTCTCTATGATTTTGTTACGATATTAAACGTACTGAGATAAAGTTGATATAAATACAATATAATGCATACCTAATTTTTTCAGTCCAATGACTTTCGCATACTCAATGTGAAGAGTGACGAGCACCAGATGGCTGTAGATGTTATTAAGAGGCATTACCTTAACGAGCATATACTGGTGCGAGCGCGCAACATGGACCTCAACGATCGCGCCCTCGACGACTATCTCGTTAATTTATTGAAGCAAGGTTAAATTAAATTTACTTATTTCGCTGGCTCAGTAACCCAAAGTGAATTTCGGCGTACGACGTTAAAGAGTGCCGTCTAGTACAATTCTGCGCCGGTTCAGCCCAATCGAGTACTCGAAGTTCCTTAAAATCTTTGGCGACTTCCTCTTTTCACTGATATCTTGGGCGACCCATCAGACGACATCCAGTCGGTTGCGCCACGTACACTCTTTTGACCGCCGTTCCTCACCCTTTCTTACTACATATCTCAACCAGCGAAGGAAGGCAGATTTCATTTTCTCATTTATATTAAGGTTGGTCACTAAGTATCTCATTTTTCTATTTCTTTGTTGAACCGTGCTCTCCATTTCTTCTTGGTTTGTCCAAGAATCTTGCGAAATATTTTCATCTCTGCTACCAGACGTTTCTTTTCCGTTTTCAATGCGAGTGTCCAAGTTTCGCATATATACATAAGGATTGGCCTAATTATAGTTTTGTAGACCCGTATTGTCGTCCTACTTAATATTTTGGACCAACTCATAATAAATACATAATTTTGGACACTAACACTATATACTGCGGTACATCTTAATGTATTTACAAAGCAGGTACTTATCTCGTCTTCCGTTTTATTCGGATCAGTTATAATGCATCCTAGTTATTTGAATATTTCAGCTCCCTCGAATCATCGTCAAGTTAAATAATTTTAAAACTTAATTTTTATTAGTAGTAGTATGGTATGTATTGATTTCTTATTTTTACGCTCAGTATCCATAATGAAACTTTTAAACTACTAAATACAAACGCGATTAAACCTTTCAAAAGTTGTTTAATTTAGTATAGTATGTGCCAAAACAAATAATTATACTTTAAATCATATTGACTGTAAGAAAATACCTGTAATTATTTTAAAACGAAGTTCACGTTTGAATGATAGGTATACCTACTACTATACCTACTACACGACCTTTCTTTTTCGACGTATGTTGAGACCTCAATTCAGTTTTTTTTTTAGGTAATACTTTATGCGCCAAAACAGTAGATGGGGCAGTTGCTGGTGTTTGTGTTAACTTTGCCAGTAGTCCTGTTGATCCGGGGAATTTGAGGCTTTACGCGTACTACCGGCAAGTGGGTATTACAAATAAATGTAAATTTCTAAGAGTAAATCACCAATACCCTTCAAATACTGGGGCACCACGTTGGGCGCCAGTGTAGTTGCTCGTTGGAAAAACAAGTCAAGGTTTAATTGAAAAGCGTAAAGAGGATACAGCTTTAAAGAAAATATAATACTATATCAATAAAAATACTTACTTATTCAGATATAATATCATAGCACTTATGATAACCATAAAACTATAAAAAACCAAGCCTCTGGTTCGCAAATCGATGTAATATAAATTTTACGTGTAATTGTGTAGTTAAAAAAAATAGATCAATTTATGAAGCTTAGATGTTAAAAGAAACAAATAATAAGGAATTATTGAATAATTCCAGAACTCTAACACGAAGGACTTTCTTTGTTTTACTGCGAAATTACAAGAGACACCAAACCTTTGGGAGACGTTTAAACAATCGAAGATTTTCGAAGTGAGTACTGCGCTGTATTGTTGTATCGCGTAACCGAAACCCTGATTTATCTTTCAAAATGAAGCATTAAATGATCCGTCAAGTTGATAGATCAGGTGTCTGCGAATAATCAGCACGCCAATTCAGCTAATATTTATATAATAATAGCATCTCAATATAATCTCAACGTCTTTCATTTTTCATTATAGTATCTGCCCAAAGTCCAATATATCGTATTTAGTTCAATGTTTATCTCACATATCAATGGTAGACAGTGTAGGTACAATGGCAAAATGCAAGCAGTTGATATTTAATTGAGATGCGATTATTACGTAATTTTGATAAAGTACGATTAGCAGAATAGGAAAGATGCCTGGCTAAAATAAAAATAAAAAATATATTAAGTCAAATAATAAAAAAAAATATACGTTAAAAAGTTTCTTCAATTTCACAAAATATAGCTTATTTAACATGCATCAAAGTTGAAGAGTGGACGCTCGCTACGTCACAGTTTTGTAATAAATATACAAAAGTGTGACGTTAACTCAATTTATCACCGTAATTTAATAAATGCCTTATTATAAAATATTTGTTCAATCAATTTATGTTCAATAATTTTCAATAATCTATCTGACGGAAAGTTAGTCATCATCCCTATTAGCCTGCTTGATTGGACAGACCAATACTTATTTAGCTGACAGTTGATCTGTCAGAGTGACAAATAATTCAAAGCTTCGATTATACAGCAGAGCTACAGGCTTCCCTTTAGATCGGATCATAATCCAACATGCGTAGATACTGAATGATGGTTGCTAACGACTACAGATGCAGCCGGTGCCGGCAGAATAACAGCAGTGCAATCTGTAAAAAACCTTAGACTCGTCCTCGAGCGCAAAACTGTCATAGGTTAAATCTAGGAAATAAAACAGGAAAAAATTGGTTTTATAGTGCAATAATATAATGCGTTAAAAATATAAATCAAATTCGGTTTGCTTCATAAAATATTACATTATTAGGCAACTAAATTCCAAATAAGTACATATTACCTCTTTCGTACATAAAGCCTGCTCTTATTTCAGATCAAAATGCTCACTGTATTACCAGAATTTCGTAGACAAGGTTTGGCGGTGTTGCTAGCGGAGAAATCTAAGGAGCAGGCAATGGATCAGGGTTACAAAGTCATTCGCATGGATTGCATAAATGCTTACGAGTGAGCATATATTGTGATACATATTAGATTAACCTAATAAGTACTAATTTTTTCATTTCAATCTTTATTTAGAGGCCTTAGCCGCTGAGCGATTATGTCAGACTTATTATTATTGTTTGAATGCTCCCAAACTACTGGATCGATATTAATTTTTGTAATATCGATATTATCTATTCGTGTTTTTAACCGTAGTTTATGATTAAAAATTGTCGTAATATGTCAAAGATAGCGTTGCCATCGCGTGACATTTATTTTAGTAGTATATTGTTTAAAATACTTATACGTAAATAAATTCGGACCCTGATGACTTTTACGGAACATTTAGGTTCCGCAAAAGCCACATTTACAATGTATTCTGTTTTGTTTCAGTTATAAAGTGGCTGAGCGATGCATGCTACAGTGCATAGTTAAGTATCCTCTGCATAAGCTTCGAGGACCCAACGCTCCTTATATCAAACGCAATTCAGCATTCAACCGTTACGTGCGAGTATACGTCGATGCGCGTACGCAGAACGACGTTCCAGACAAGCACTTTATTAGACAGAGGCAAATAGACATAGATAGTCTTATTGAATGAGCTTAAACATTAATTATTAAAATTTTGAAAAATACAACCGAGAAAAATAATATTCTATATCAGTAGGTACTATTTATTTATTTTTTATCTATATTTTGTGATTTTATGTCTCGATAACTTATATTGTTGAGATTTAAAATTTCTTATCTTATGCGCCACAAAGGAAATTGTAATATTTATTTATTTAAGTACAACTTCTCTAGCTTCAAGTTTACAAGAATGGTAGGTGAATGAAAATAGTATCTAAAAACTCGTATGTGGGATTTGAACAATGTCAATAAAATCCAATCTGTATATAAAAAAAATAGGCACGTTGCTTACGTAGTCCTTGTCCCCGGCCCACCACGCTTTTGCTTCTAGTGTGATTATGCTCCTGGTAGGATGAGAGTCTACAATTAGTAACACAAAACCACTTTGTGGTTATGTAATTTTGGTTTAAATCTTTTTTATTTCGTTTTTGGGTCGTACAAATAAACTGGAAACGTGATTGTTCACAATTTGGAGTCTTACTTATATTACGAAGGTTTCATCATGAGTCTTGTTTTATATTTGTTATGGAAAATTAATGGTATAGTAACTTGTTAACTTCTATTGAAAATGTTTCTTTGTACAGCATATCAAATAAAACAAATATTTTAAATTGATCATTTATTTGGTATAACCTTATATATTCTTTTAAAATATCAGTGTTGATCTCTATCAATATTAAAATCCAAAGAACAGTCTCAAATATTTATCTTAAGTATATTTTATATAACTAAATTAGTTATCTATAGATCTATCAAAGAACGAATTATGGAAATCTAATAAGCTAGTTAATTAAACAACTAGATAAATTGTGGTACAAAACAAAGACACGTGATTAGTATTGAGTGACAAGAGATGGCGTAACAAATTTAAATTCATTTTCTGGAACAGAGACTAAGCAAACATCCTGAATACCTACAATATGTTCTTTGTTTAACAATACTATGAATACAAACTTGTGTAAACTCACTTTAAGGGTAAACTATATCGTGTTTATTAAAGACAAGAAAAGTTCACAATTAACTTAATCAAGATTACATTAAAATTTCTTCAAGAACCGTTAATTACCAAAGGCACTTCATAAACAACTTTAATTAAGACTCTTTACTTATGCCAATTTCAACTTAACGAGTATTCTCTTATCACAAAATTAGATTAAATGAGTTTTTCGCTTAAGTATCTTGTATTTAGATCATAAGGATAAACTTAAACCATCTTATAAAACGAGAACTAAGCTAAACTTGGTTTAAACCATTGACCGCCTAAAGCAAATAGTCAAATTGAGACGTGTTGACTTATTTTGTTCGGATAATGACGAGGAATAAATTTATAATTATCTGTTATTGTTAAACAAAGCTTTTACATTATAGTTACATACACTTGCTAATACCACCTCTACGTTGTACACGATTCAGCGAGATCGAAGTGAGATCTGTAACCGATCAACATAAATCTGGCTTCGTTATAGAAGGAACATATCTTCACTTAAACTATAACGCCGAATATTGAATTTTGAAAACAGTTCTTAACAAAAAAAAAACGAGTAAATATTTAAAAAAACATTAGTTCCCGAAATCAAACTAGATGTCGCTACGATACTTTCTTGATTTCTCAATGACAACCCTTCCAGTTTTCTTCCATATATAAAAGTAAATAAATTTCAAACTCAATAAACAACTCATATGATATTTGTACTTTTTCGTATTTAAGTTTCGAAATTTTTAAATTGCAGTTTTTTAATATGTTAGTTAAAAGCAACGGAAATGATTATCTTTGGTCCATTCGTTTCCTGCAAAAAGCAATTTTTGGTAGAGTCGTCATCTAACGAGGTGCTTTTAGTGCTTTCTTGTTTTACTCAAAATACTTCCTCATTGATATAACTCAAACACTTATTCACTTCCGTCAATGTTATATTTATTTGTGAAGTCGTATACTTAAAAAAATACAAAATTTATATGACATATAAATAGAAAACTATTTAAAAATATATAAAAGTACCAGATTAAAAATTGTAATATATTCTAAAAATGCAAAAAAAGTTATCAGGCAATTGTATACACAGTAGTACGTCAGTTTCCATAAAACATTAAAATTGTGCAATTGATAATGAGCTCTAAGCTAAATGCATTAAGGTTTTGATAGGATTTGACAGTTGCATAATCTCTCGCACTGTTGATTGTATATTCCCTGAATTTCTTTTTTGACTAAACGTGTACTGGTATAAAATTATTACTTATACTATTTTTTTCGTTCTATTTAATTCACAGCTCACGCATCTTTTACAAAAAGCCCAAGCTAAACGTGTACTAGTATCAAATTTTTTCTTATACATATTTTTGGTTCTATTGTTCAATGGCACAAAACATTTTTATATGTATCATCAGCAAAATTTGTTTATTCAGAATCTAAAGCCGACGGAGTCTATCATTACAAAAAATAGGCTTTATTTCGTACCCTTAAGGTTTAAAGTCAGAAACACTGCAATCGATCTATCAGGTTCTAACGTGGCGCGAACGCATCAATACAAAACTTAACGGGTCAGTTACACTGATCGATTGGGTTAGCAGGCAGAGCACAGACCACCTCTGCACGCTTATCTCATTGGTGAATAAAGCAATGACTGACTAATGAAAGCGAAAAACAGATATCGCCCGCACGTCGCACGTTTATGTTATCGAGCAGTGTAACACAGCCATTATTATTGCCTTAAATATATCGCATTGGGTCAGCATGGAGGGTCTTGACCCGTCCACCTTAACCTACAAGGAAGGATTGAGACCCTGCAGTGGGCACGTAAAAGGGCTAATGATGGCATTGATAAATTTAGTTCCATTTTACCTTAATACATATTTAATTTCATGCCTAAGCAGATGCTTCAATCAAGATCAAGTAGGGTTTGACGATATTCTCGATAAACCAATCCTTGTCGAATTGTAGATGATCATAAGGCGTAGACAAGAACGCAAGCTTGCCTGCCTCGTCCAGCGTCTTTAGGCCTAACCTGTCCTGAAATATAAAATTAATTATAAGCGACATAAAGTTGAAATTCCGAAAAAGGTTGAAAACACAGGTGTAAACAATAAACGAAAATAAATACATATATTTTTTTTTTTCTGGTAGTGTTTAATATACTATCGATCAGTTGAACAAACGCCTTTAACCACTAATGAATGTCAAATTAGTATGGGTAATGTCGCTTTAAACTAATTGCAATTTTAATGGACGTTTGTGCATCTGTCTGTATTACCGATAATCACACTATGATGCTTATTATATTTATAATATTGCTTAAATTAACTATGGAAAAACAAATATTTTATGTTTGTTTCTCGCACTTGACCATTTTTTATCACGCCATTTAATGCGCTCATGTCTTGACAAATCAAATTTGAAAGACTAAATAATATTCTTTTTTTATTTGAGCTATGAACATTTAATATTCCTATTAGACAGGAATTCGCCATTCGGGGGCGACAAAATGAAAAGTATCTTTATTCAAAAACATAATCTTGAAAGCAAACAATAATTAAATTATTTATTTTAGAAAAAATTTGTTGAGTTAAATATTGCCTAAAAACATATGTTAACATAACTATGTATCTCATTTTGACATGATAAGGCAAATGAACCGTAGTTGTATCAGTTTTACCAAAATGCAACACTTTGGTAAAACTAATTCCCGGTAAAGTAATAACATATGTGTTAAAACTCCCAGAAGTTCCAAATGGCCCAACCCAGGTCTTATACCTACCCTCAACAATATCCCGAATAAAAGGGCATTAACAGACAGACAAACACATAAATGGACAAAGTAGCGACTTTATAAACGTGGCTTTTTTTATCACAAAAGGAAACCGAAAAATTGATTACATTCTAGATACAATTGTTAAATTAAAAACAATTACGTTCTTTTTTAAATTCAAAATTCCAATACTATATTAGAACCAACCTGTTTATAAATATCAGATTCATTCAGTGCCACCACTGTCTGCGCTTGCCCGGGAGCGTAAAATCCAAACCATTCCGTTTCGCGTGGTTGCACCATGCTGTCATTGTTGAACTTTATCATCACAAACTTTCGTAGCGCCATAAGATTGTTTATGTAGGTATTGTTTATGATGCGCTCATTGTTTATGTCAGCCAGGAAGTGGCTCTTATTCTTGTACAGTTCCTCGTTGAGTGGATCGTGCCAGTAAGTGGCCTGGACTAGAGAATCTTGTACCCAGCTGCAATAATAAAAATGTATGGTTCAGTTATTTATAAAATATTTTGTTCTTTGGCGAGTCGGGGATTCTATCGCATACACTTGTTTTGATGTCATTTTACGTATTTAAAAGAATGGTTTATTGTTGACCTTGTACTGTAAAGAACGCAAGAACTTTTTACATGCGCCGGAAGTCATTCTTGATTAATGTAAATATAGGGATTTTGTTATAAGCGATAGGAACCTAGTACAGGTTTAAAGTCTTTCACAAACTTTTTATTGGTATTTAAACTGTTCTATTACCTAATAAAAACAAACAGAAACCGATAGAAATTCCACTGCGACGCTTCTTTATATTTAGAATTTCTTTCAACATTATCACAGATCATGTCTTTATTTGTAGAACAATAGAAATACTTTTCTGATACATAGACGTACCAAGGCTACTTGATGCCAATTACGTACATGTATAAACGTGAAAAGAATAACTTAAACCTATAGATTTTAAGCAACATTAAGGTACTTTTAGATGACATTTAAAAAAGTCGAGGACGTGGATCCTGTACAAATATGAGATTTATTATAAGTATATTACGTAAATAAAACCGAAAAAATCGATAAATAAAAGGTTAACAGTTAACCTCTTCGATTATTGTATTGCACTGTTTACTATACGTTAATATAAAGGAAAAATAACTATAGACATTTCGTTTTATTAAACGAATCGTTATCTGTGCATAGATCGCTGTCCTATTAACAAAATTTTCTGATTTAGCAGACAACATTGGGTTACTACAAAGTTAATGCAATCCATGTTCAACGAAATTACAGATGTGCTGCTATGTGTACATTGAAATAACTCATGCAAAAGGCTATTCTATTCTTCCAATTGTTACGGAATAATCGCAACTCAATAGAATCCCCCCATACCTGCATTTTGCTGTTGTACTATCAACCTGAAGTCTAATATTATTAGAACAATGTTTTCCTCACAAAAAGAATTGTGTAATAAAATGTTGTAGTTGAAGCGCTATTGACTTGACCATATTTACGCTAACATTCGCAGAATTGCTCTGGCCGTTGAGGCCAGCGCGGCACGTGACGTATGTGTATCAGCTGCAGTCGCAAAGATCCGTTTGAGTGTGCTTACTTTGGTATATTTTTGAATCACGAATTGGAATTTGGAGAATGATGCTCGGAATTCGCGAATCGGATCAACGCATCTATTTTGGTCAAATTGAAGATAAGAATAAGATTGTCCACCACTAGTCTACGGAGAATTCTTTAGACACATCACTAAAAAGAAAGGCGAATTTCTTGGAAAAGATTTACTGGCGGACTTAATAGATGGACGAAGATCGCGACGTTGAGTATTCTACGTTATTGGTCAGATAAGATCTATTACCCACTTTGGTTCTCTTACATATCGAACATACAAATTCTTTAATATAATATTTTCATAGACATCAAATAAACATTTCGATTAACCGCAACTAATATTCGTTAAATTCTCTTAATAGACTTCAACAGATTTTATTTTTTGGAATTCTGTGTCTTCTTTTGTCTTTTTCTGTTCTTTTACTTCTTCTTTCTGCTTTTCAAACTTTTTCTCGACATGATGAGATTCTATAATTCAAGAATTTTATGCAAAAAGAAACGTGCTAGATGTAATCTAATTAAACAGTAATAAGATTTAATTTTGTACAGCAAAATTTATGGCCGGCTGTTGGAGTCAAAAGTCGGCCATCAACATAAAGTCACTTTTATACGCTGCCGCCAAGTGGTAAAATTTTTCATCTAAAAGTTATATTCAATCAAAAGCACTGTTAAATGAATTTCAACGAAATCGAAGTAAATCCTTATAAAAGTAGGCGGCCACTTCAAGTCGACTAATGGCTCAATCCTAAAAAAACGAATTCCGGTAGTCAGCTCACTGATATAATGTAACAATCAAATAAAATGCCTCTAACACTTAATTAAATTACAATACAATGATTTTATAATAATATAACACATAAATCCACCAGAATAAACAGCACTCATAAAAACTTGCCTGAACTATGAACACGTCTTGTTATGAAAAAAATAGAATGGGAACACTTTCAGTCATTTCGTTGGCGGCAGTGAAAATTAATGAATACAGTTCATCGATCGATAATCTTTTTAATACGAGAGTGTGCGTATTAACTAATAAGGAAACGAGATTATATATTAATAAGGAAATAAGAACAGATTAGATCAGACGTCATTTCAATGGTATAAACCAAGTTCAAAAGTATTTATATGATGTTAAAGCCTTTAAAGGTCGATTAATGGTGTGGCACCAACTTCTGGGCATTTTACCCTACTAAGACTCCACATTCATCTGCCTGTAAGCAGAGTGTATCTCATGAATCATGACAGTGAAAAAGTTGAATTTTGTCAGATGATGTATTTCTATCATCTCTATTAACAAATAAATACTAAAAATGGAATGAAACAAATATTTAACAAGGGCTTCCATTCAATAAACGTGATTGTTTTGTGTTTTATAGATAATCATATGGAACCCTTCATGCGCAAGTGTGACTTGCACATGGCTGGTTTCTTTTTGCTACAAGTATTTTAGATTATTAAAATGAAGTATTTAATTAGTGATAGACCAATCAGTTATTGGCCATTAATAACAGTTTTCCTTTAAATTTTTTTTCTTGTAATAAAAAAGGGTGCCTCTGATCTTTCATACAAAACATGTCATTTAAAGGCCTTTAAATATAAGCAAAAAGGCTGAGTTGCTACTCACTCAGTATAAGCTGCATGGTTGATGAGTTTTCTCACATAGTCACATGGTTTGTGCTTAAGGGCTCCACAGTGAGGTATTCCATAAACACCCTGGTGTTGACCTCCGAGTGAGATAAGATTTTTGATAGAAAGCTGATCACCACACCTCTGTACTAAGGCTCGCCTGAAAACAGATACTTTTCATTAATTTAAATTGTAAAAATTAACTTTTTTTCCTTTCAATGTCACTATCATTGTCATATCAAGGGGTTTTTCAATTCCACTTGATTAATTTATATTTCTAAAAAAGAATGAGCATTGAAGAAATAAAATGTCAATTTACAACTACTAAGTAAGTAATTTTTCAGTACTGCACAACTTTGGAAATTGTATACATAGAATATTTATAATGTAAATATTAATAGTTTAATGTAGTAAATTTTATTTATTGATATAGCTACTGTATTTTTAACCCATATCTAAACATGTCCAGCTACTAAATTGCATCTCAAATAATGTGGTATAGTTATAATAAATTAATTATATACTTACAAGAACTGGCTCCCCTGTGAAAAGCCTATGGCATTGAAACCATCCTTAAGTTTTGGATCCGCAGCCAATTGGTTGCATGCAATCTCTACTTGCTTGTTGGGATTCATGAAATAGCTATGCTCTATATCTTCAACACTGTTGTTGCCAATTCTGATGGAATATACATATACACCTGGGATCAGGTTTTCCAGAAATGCGCGGAATGCTCCCAAGCTAAATGACAGGCAACAGGCATCTCCTAAAATAATTTATTTTTAACAGCATTTAGGCATTAGAATCAACTAACGATGATTGTATGCGTATGCATTTAGTATTTGCTATTTTTCTAAAATATAAAATCAGTTTACAGTAGCTAGCAGATAAGTAAATCAGTGGTTTTTGGATTAATTGTTATAATTCAGTAATATAACTTCTGCATCACAGACCGAACATGCTAACTACTGCACCATAAAGCTCCAAAGGAAATTAATATTTTATTTTAATTTATTACAAAATTAACAACCACTTGATGACAATTAATAATTTACAATAACAATTTTCAATTTATATCATAATGGTGATCATATACTCAAAACAAATGCATGAATTATTAATAGTCTTTGAGTCTGTACTTAAGGAAAACAATATTGTTTTCAGCCACAAAAAAGATAATGAAATCAAATCTGGCTGACCTTTTTTAAAGTTCATTTTGTAGATACGTCACTTAAAAATTTAAGCCTAATTTATAGAATAATGCTTACCCATTCCATGCCATAACACTACAGGAGTTGGGGATGCACTTATTGTTGTTATAATTAAAAGAATTGCTATCAAACACTTCATTATATCTACTAAGGTGACTACAAACGATTAAATGACCAGCCACAACGAAGACTAAGAACGAAATGATGGATGATACACAGAGAGACTGACCAGCAGGAGCGGCGTATTGAACTTGGCGCTGCAAAGTAAAACAGAACATAAACTGATAACTAACTTTTTGATATCAACAGTACTGAATGTTAGAGATGAAAAATCTAATAAGTTTCGATATTTGACAAAATATCAAAGCTACGATGCATTTCTAAATCTACAAACATATTTCGATCGACACCAACTTAGACAAACTTGTAAACATCAATAAACGTCATTGTCAATGTTAATGTCTTGTCAATGTCATGTCAATCAAACATTTTTACTAAATATCGGGTTGGCACAAAAGTAATGAGACACTTGGTTTAAGTTTTTACTTTTGTATTATTATTACAATAAAAAAAGTTTATGTAATTACCATTAGTATCTAAGACTTCTTGCCAACGATCCGGCAAAGTTTGGATGCCTTTTGCCCAGAACTCTGATGGCTGTGCCTCGAAAAAGTTGTTCAACTCCGCCTCTACGTCAAAGAAATCATTAAATTGTTTACCCCACAAATGCTGTATCAGGGCTCTAAACAAATGATAGTCTGATGGGGCGAGGTCTGGGGAATAAGGTGGGTGGGGTATCGTCTCCCAGCCCAAGTTCTCCAACTGCCGGCGAACCACAGATGCGACGTGAGGTCGAGCGTTATCGTGCAGTAAAACTACATTGACTCGTCTTCGTCGTTTTTTCTTGATAGCGGCAGATAATTTGGTAAGCTGGGTTGAATATTTGTCAGCGTTTATAGTTTCATTGTGTAATAGCTCATAAAACAGTATGTCTTGCGCATCCCAGAAACAGCAAAGCAGAATTTTTCGGCGGTTCTTTTGACTCGGCTTCAGTTGAGTTGGTGGCGTTTCTTCTCGAGGCAGCCAAAAAGCACGACGTATATCGTTCTCGTAATAAATCCATGATTCATCTCCAGTAACCAGATCTGACAAAAACTCTTTACGTCGGGGTCGCAGCAAAAGTGACTGACAGATAGCGACACGGACTGCACGACTGGCGTCTGTAAGGATGTGCGGTACCCACCGAGCCAAAACTTTTCGATAACCAAGCTCATGCAGATGGTGTTCCATAGCGTGGTAACTGCATTTAAGTGCTTCCGCTAATTCACGAGTGGTAGCATCCGGATTCAACTGCAGTTCGCGGCGCAAATCGTCATCATTCACTGCGGGTGGTCGCCCTGAGCGTGGCTGACTTTCAAGGCTCCTGTCTCCTGATTTCAAAAGGTCAAACCATCGGGACACCGTCGCATGGCTTGTACTTCCAGCGCCTAATGCATTGTTGATATTGTCAGCCGCAGCCCGCGCACTGTACTCGTATAAGTATAGTGTTCGAACTTTTCGCTCGTCCATTTTTCTTCAAACTGACTAAACAAATCGCGAGCGCGGCTTTATATACCCTACACCAGAAGTACCTAGAATATTCTACAACATTCTAGAATATTATCGAAAAAATTGATTTTAAAAAGGAAATGTTATAGATTTTTCTAGTGTGTCTCATTACTTTTGTGCCAACCCAATATAATCAAAGGTATTTAATCCATACAACGTAGTCTTTGGAAAAGGTGTACTAACAAAAATTGACTATCTTATGTGAATTTTGCTTTATCTGAGTATTAATTTTAAGGATTCAGATAATCAATTTGAAAAGGTCCAACGTGAAGCACTACGTCCGTGTTTAACTAGATCTGGGCGGCCAGTCCGTGTACTGTCTCCTTATGTTTAGAATATAATCTGTGTATAAGAGCACAACTCACTCTTGACCTTTTTTCTTATCTATTATTATGAAGTCTATTGTTTTTGGTTCTGTCTTTGAGCCGCCATATAAGAATTTAAATATATTTTACAAGCTTGCGTGAATGTTGGCAAAATTTCCGTGTATAACGGAACAAGTCCATACTGAAAAAAAAAAAAAAAAAGCTTGCGTGAAGATTACATTTTAGTTATTTTAATTGTATTGCAGTTTTATTAAACAATTTATTATTTATAATAGCGTGTTTTCTGTGCCAAGGGCCATTATCAGACTCGCGCTATAATTTGGCTACCCAACGTTCGGCTCGAACAATATTTATTGTATATGATGAATATGCCTTTGTAAAGAAACTGACAATAATTGTGTTCAACGTTTGTTCTGCGTTTTTTTCCGAGTTAAATAAAAACTCGACGCGACGTTTTACAGTAAATATTTAGTTCCAGTGAGGTCAATTCATATTGTGTTCGCACGTTCTATATATGATATTGTACATGAGATAAAAACGTATATATGGTTTTAACTCGATCGAGATCTGGTGAAAGTGATGATCAGCAAACGTCCCAAGAGAATATAATTACTGAAGGACACGGGACTCCATCACCGCCAGAAGTTTCACCGTCGTCAGTTGCAGGCTCAAGTCATTTCACCACGCCTTCGGTGCAACCACAAGGTACACCGCTGATAATGACGGACCAACAGTTAAGTCTTTTATTGAAATCATTACAAACTCCACAAACATTCACACACATGCTTTCAAATTTTGCAAATTGTACTGCTCGTTTTGACGGGTCTGGTGATGTAGAACCTTTTATTGATTCTATCAGTATTTACAAACAATGTGTCAACATGCAAGACAATATTGCACTACAAGGACTATCAATGCTACTCATCGGTTTCGCAGCCACATGGTACCAAGGCATCAAACATACTATTGGCTCATGGCAGGAAGCTCTTGTTATTATGAAACAAATGTTTGATTCAAGAATCCCACCTCATAAAATTTATCGTAAAATATTTGAAAGAGATCAAGGAGATGAAAATACAAATGTATTTGTGTGTAAAGTACGAGCTCTTTTTGCGCAACTACCCGCATATTCGTTATCTGAGGTAGTACAACTAGATATGTGTTACGGCTTATTACATAGACGAATCAGAGAGAAGGTTAGTAGAAGTTCGTTCAGCACATTTCAAGAATTATTGGAATCCGCTCGTCGAGTTGAAGATTTGGTAGAGGAGACACATCCAAGGGTTAAGAGGCCATCTTCTGATGTGTACAGAGTAAACACTAACAATGTTAAAAACTTTTCTTCGACTGATCACACAGTGAATTCTTTTATCCCTACCACACCTTCTCCTTCAACTTCTGATTTAGAAAAGAAATCCCGTCCTCGCTGCGTATATTGTAAACAATATGGTCATAAACGAGATCAGTGCCGTAAACTAGTGGACAAAGAGAATTGCCAGAAAGAATCGCAAAGCGTAGCAAGTCAAAATACCCAAAGTACTATAGTATGCTTTGGATGTGGAACACCTGGAGTCGTCAGGTCTAACTGCACTACATGTAAAGGCAAGGGGGAGTCGACATCGGTTCCTATTGGTTTCCAAGCTGTGTCAGCATGCAGCACTTTTGTGGATGCTCGCCCTCGGCCATTATTGTATATACGTGTTCATGGTGTCACTGGACGCGTATTAGTTGATACTGGAGCTAAAATATCTATTGCTAGTGAAAGTCAAAAAAATGTGCTTGTTAGTAAGAACCACCCGATGACAGATTCTTTTGTAGAAATGAAATTAGCCGATGGCTCTGTTTGTAAACAAAATGTAAAAATGTGTACTGTAGACGTTACTATATGTAACGTTGTTGTCCCTACTGTATTTATTATATTACCAGGAGCTACTGATACTTTGTTAGGAATGAATTTCCTATGTGATGCGGGTATAGTGCTTGACCTAAAATCAAATCAATTTTCATTACAATCAAACAAAGATGAGTACTTTCCTTTAGAGTTTGAAGGGAGCATAGGCGATTTAGACTGTTCTGTTAAAGGTCTTTGTGTTGATGAGGGCACTAAACTATCTCCTGCAGAACGGCGTAAGTTTTCTAAGATATTGGAAGATAATTTCGACATCTTTGCTCGTGGGGGAGTGCCTACCGAATTCGCAGTACATCGTATCGATACTGGAGATAGAAAACCAGTTGCTGTACCTCCTTATAGATTAACTCCTGCTAAAAAGGAGATTGTTCCACGTCGTATAGGTCCTTTCAAAATTAATAGGGTAGTATCTGCCACTTCTTATGAACTATTAGGTGGTGAAGGCAACTTTAAAGAGAAGTACCATGCCAATCTTCTTACACCTTATATTGGGGACGGTGATGTACAAACACTAAAGAGGAAAGGCAGGCCTCGACTTAAAACCAAGTCACCCCCGGGGCGGGTTAGTGACTTGGAGGGGGAGGATGAAGCACTACGTCCGTGTTTAACTAGATCTGGGCGGCCAGTCCGTGTACTGTCTCCTTATGTTTAGAATATAATCTGTGTATAAGAGCACAACTCACTCTTGACCTTTTTTCTTATCTATTATTATGAAGTCTATTGTTTTTGGTTCTGTCTTTGAGCCGCCATGTAAGAATTTAAATATATTTTACAAGCTTGCGTGAAGATTACATTTTAGTTATTTTAATTGTATTTCAGTTTTATTAAACAATTTATTATTTATAATAGCGTGTTTTCTGTGCCAAGAGCCATTATCAGACTCGCGCTATAGATTAGTTTTCTGCTTTTTATGAAACCGCAATAGTAATGAAATCACGTAAATAGTAACTAAATGACAAAATGTCCAAAGCTTTCATAAAATTCGCATGAATTACACGGCTCGAATCACAGTGGATTGTAAAGCGCCTTTTAAGTCTGAATGCATTTATAAAAAGATATATATTTTTAGTGTTTTATTAAGCAAAACAACAAAAAAATATTCAAACTGCTTACTTTGTTTGCCAATGAGGTAACTTATTGTGACATTAACACTAAGTAAATATTCTGCTGCTGTTAATCCTTTTTATTATACCTGTTGACATGAACGAGCCAAACTTGACTGACCATGTTGTGATATAAACTACTTAGTACTCGTACTAACTTTTTGATACTTATCTTTGACATTACCCGCGTAGCCCGGTATAGGTAAAAAATAAACAATTAAAAAAAATTAAACCGACTACAAAAAATACAAAAAGTGGATTGAGGTCGGGGCCAGCCATGTCATTAGTAAGAAGTAAAACAGAACTAACAGAAAATGTATTTTTCTTGTAGATATCTGGCATAGACCAAAAAGTGTTGGTGTATCCACTTTTTGTTTCAATCATATTGAAGATAAAAAATTATGGTTTTATCTATCTACTAATTAATTAAATTATTTTCTCTCTTTTCATTAGTTTCTCTTTATTACTATAAACAGAACCTACTGAAAAAAAGAGAAAATAATTTTTAACCGACTTCAAAAAAGGAGGTTATTTTAAGTCGAATAAATTTTTTAAAACTCTTTTTTAATAATAGATGTTATCACCGATCCATTGCACTCACTTCTAATTTGTAATTAATAGACACCTTCGTCTGTATTTAAACATACTCACTTATATTTACCGGATAAACATTTTCTGTGATGGTAACAGTTTCAACCTAATCACTAAATCCCAAACCAAAGAAAGTATGATTTCAAACCAATGTCTAATTTTCGAGAAATAAATTACATACACATACATACATATTATACATCTACAAAATAAAGCACACGTGTTTAGAAGCGCATAAAAAACTAACATATATGAATATTGCATCGTATTCCATCAAAATTAATACAGGTCAAATCAAGAATGACGTACATACCCAACGGCCTCCTTTTTTTAATTAGGTTAAAAAGAACGTCATCAATTTTAACTCCTTTATAGGACGGTAAATTTTTACTTCTATTATAAGTAGCTTATTTTAATAGGATATAATCTTTATAACTACTGAACTGATTTTGATGAAACTTGAAGCGTACCCTAAGTTTAAAACAAAGCAATCTGATAAAAAGAATCATTGCAATCCGATTTCTAGTTTGCGAGATATCCGTGGACAATTTAAAAAATCTATAAAATTTTGCACATGTCCTTAGAAGCCTATACAGACCAATATATATGAATATTACGCCATTTCAACGAACCTCGAATTGATAACCTCCTTTTTTGAAGTCGAAATAAAAAATAAGAGAAGTGAAATTGCCACCTTGGAGAACACCAGTCCCTATACTGCCTCAGGATGAGGAATACTCGTTATACTGCTGCTAGTGCCCCGAAGATAAGATGACATCTTGATCAGATGCATCGAAAGAGGAATGTTGTAACTATCAGTATTAGAAGCAATGAAGAATCGATAAGGACCATATATTCTACTGTCCTTTAACGCTACCCACTTTATGAGTAAAGAAATATTATCAGTCTGAATTCCGATTGCGGAGGATTAATAATAAAATTCTTGTGAATAAAATAAGAAGGTATACGTGACAGAAATAAATATGAAAAGGAATAGAAGAGACATAGGTAAGGAAAAATAACTGAATTGAGGCAATATTGATGCACAAACTACACAAAATTTTTGTTGTCAAAGTACATTTTTTATTCCGTTGATAACTTGATAATCATATTTTCCTCGCTGCAAGAAGCTATAACTAAGATAAATAAGAGAAGTAAAGTTTTATTTAAACTTTTATTATATTATAGTAGTATAGAACTAGTATTACATTTCATAGATAAATTCAAGCTTTTAGTTCAGATTAAAAAAGAATAAAAAAGAACTAGACAACTGGGTCAAACTAATAACTATAGGCAGTCAAGTTCAAGAAGCTGTAAAAAATTATAAAAAGGTTCCAGACTTTGTATTAGCAATGAGGAAGTATTTAAAAAAAACATTAGTACCCGAAATCAAACTAGATGTCGCTACGGTACGTTCTTGATTTCTCCATGACAACCCTTCCGATTTTCTTTCATGTTTAAAAGTAAATTAGTTTTCAAAACTTAATTTTTTTAATACAATGTTAGTTAAATGGAACGGAAATGAATATCTTTGGTCCATTCGTTTCCTGCAAAAATCAACTTTTATTAGAGTCGCCATCTAGTGGAGGTGATTTTTAGTGCTTTCGTTTTTTTTTAATGCTTCCTCATTATTGTTGAAACGTTGACTGCCTCATTCGAAGTTAATTATTTCCACCATGAATACTGTATTCAACTTAAGTGAAAAATCTTCGTGAAAATAAAATTATATAATTAATTATCAATCATCAAACCCATTGCCTCAAAATAGGACGTTTCAACTACTTCTGACGGTGAACTACCTAGCCATATCACACGACATTTTAGCAAATAAGACGATATTTGTTTTATTTTCCTACTTTGACATGTCTTTTGTTGTCTGAATGTTAAAGATGGATTTCACTGCTGTCAAATCCACATTTAACATTCTTTATCATTCGTGCTTCATTATTAAAATACATGTCAAAGTTGGAAAATGAAACGAAATATTGCCATAATATCGCTAAAATGTCGTATCCTATGCTAGAGTTATAGCGAGAGGAGTTAGACGGGCACTCTTCGGGTAGGGCTCTTCAACCACTAGAAACTATTCGAGGGGCGAGGTCAAAGTGTGGTTAGCCTATTTAATGTCATGTAGGTTAAAAAAGGTTCTATCTACATTTATGGGTCAAGGTACACACTACTACAACAAAATCCCTATGGAAATTGTAAACTTACACTTGCCTAAATTTAAAACTCATGTTAAGAATTGCCTTGACAAAAATGCTTGGTTTTAAGTAAGGCTTACTTTTATGTATATTAAATGAGTTATCGGTGAGCTTGTTTGAGACATGTGGTTCGATTGACGTAAATACTGTTTTACTTTTACGTTTTCTAATATTGTAATGGAAAATGACTTCATATTTTAATGAAATCATTTTTCAATCTTGACACTCTGTATAAAATAAAACAGGGAGAAAAAGCAGCCCTTGTCGAGTTTCTTGCCGGTTCTTCTCGGTAGGTACAAGGTCTCCCGCCGTAGATTTACGAACCGATGGCGAAGCTCTCGACTTTCACAAGTGCTTGTAACAGCCTAGACTGAATAAATAATTTTGATTTTGAATAAAACCCGCTGTGGTCAACCCTCTCTTTGTAGGAAGAAACTGAGATCCGGCATGGAGGGCACCGGAGTGCGACCGCTTAACTCTTTAGCCATGATTCTAGAACACGACATCTTAGCGAAGTGGTGTCGATTTTTCGTTTTATTACAACTTTAACATGTACTTTATAAAAGACGAACAAATGATAAAGACTAATTATTATGGATTTAACAGCATCTTTACCAAATTAGTAATTTATTCCAAAATTTATCCACTAAAAGATATGTCAAAGAAGTGAGATGCAATGAAATATCGCCATAACATAGACGAGATGTCGTAGGTATTCTATAGCTTGAATTATAGCTAAAATTATGGCAAGACAGGAGGTTGTGTCTCTGAACCACAAAAAAAAACACTTTTTTTAAGTTAAAAATGTGAAAAACAAACGTGTTGTTATAGGTATGGGAGCCCCTTAGATATTTATTTTAGTATGTATTTTACTATTTGTATGAGTTACTGGTGACAGAAGGACGGACATAAAGAAAGACAGACAGACGGACAGACAGCGTAGTAATAGGGTCCCATTTTTCCCATTGGGTAAGGAACCATAAAAACAATATATTTCCAAATTCTAAATGGTAGGTAGTGTTATTCGAGAGTGAGATACTGATAGATAATATAATTATAATTTTATAGAATATACAGGACAGTTTTACAATTTTAAATCAGCGTATTTACGGTAAATTGGGTTTTAAAAACTATTTTCAATTAATTGTTCGTAAAATCTTACGATTATTGCACAAGTGTTGCATTGACCTCGCCAGTAACTACTTTTTTTATAAATTCACGATTTGAGTGTGCGAAAACCTTTACATATAGGTTTAAATGTTATATAGTTATTTTTGTTTTTAATTACAACGTATTTAAACGTCTTGTCCACTGTCCAAATACATTTGCTGCACGCATCCGCCTATTGAAACCTTGTCCAGAAGCTGTCGTTTACACCCACCAGTCCGTTCTAGGCTCATTCATAATATGTTATCCACCCATCCGGTAAGTGAAGACATTAAAAGGATAATGATGTATATATATTAAAACACTAATTATAAATAATGATTTAATGAAAACTTCATTCACAAGAAACAGCTTTAAATTATCACAGCTAATAAAAGTGTCGATATATACAATATTACATCGGCACAAACTTGTGATTTCGACGGATAAATGACATTAATAAGATTTATGGAAGAACAAAAATTATTTCACAGATTACTTATATAAACTGTAAAATTTTATTTCAGTGAATGGTATTTATTTTAAAACTTTACATTAAATTATACTAATTGAGATTCAGAGATGTTGCTACCACTGCGTTACCTACTTATGATTAAACTTCGATCTATTAGTTTTCGTCATCTATACTAGGAAAATACAAATCAGATTTATAAAAAGGTATAAAAAGTTACCTATAGATTTGAAAGAAGTTTCTTTTATGTATTCTTATGAGATTTATCTGCATCTCGTTCAAGAAGAGAGAAGCGTTGTCTAAAACACTAAAGCCAAATTTACATTATGAAACTAAATGTCATTAGTTTAGTTGCATTAATTTCGCTAGCAGCTTCACGTGTAAATGTGCTCTTTTACAGTACATGCATTAGTTTTATGAGAATAGAGTAGTTTCGTGCGATACTACCACATTTTTCATGGTGAAACTGAGTCACCATCTGCGCATAATATAGTTTTGACGTTGATGAAACATGTCTCAGAAGTGTTGTTGATTGTACACCAATACGAAAACTTGACAAAATTAGTTTCGTGAAGCTTTTTATAATTTCCTAATGTAAACCCGGCTTTAGAAACCCGAAAAAAGGCCCCAGCGATAGCCACGCCACTGATAAAATAAAAAAAAATGCAATAAATACAATTTCGATTATGATGATGACCTTAGGAACGTAAGATTATGGTAAGATTTATCTTTTGAACATACAAAATGTTAAAGCCGATTTCTGATATGTCATATAGTCAAAAATATTGAAAAACGGGGTAAAAGATCATGTTTCATGGTACACATTAAGTCACCATATGCTTTGTTAAAAAGTTAGACATAATTCTCCATTGACCGACGACTTAATCAAAAGTCGACACAATCGAGTCAAAAAAAAAAGTACAAAATAAGTTCTTTTTACAAACTAAATTTTATATAAAACAAAATTTAAACTTCTAATTTCATAACAGCTAAATTATCACTCTTCACGACTCACTATTATGGCTTTAACGTAAATTAATTAACTCAATTAATATTTAATGAATCCTCAAGGGACGAGTTGAACTTAAACAACTAAATAGGTTCATTTTTCATAAATGAATAATCACAAAAAAATGCTTCTTACGCTAAAATCACAGTCTCATAAGGATATCACTATAAAAGTCTCTCTTAATGTTCCATGCTGCCCTTCTTGGGATAACTCGATCAGGTATGAGTACAAATCGTATTGCAAATTGATGCAATACTATCCTCATCTATATGACTTCTTCCAGTCATTGATGGAGACCTATAGGATTCTCATAGAGTCTGTGTGTTTCAATATTTTCATTTCTAAGCTAGACAACTTTTTCGGCGTATCGTAGTCGCTAGAATCGGAAGACTCGAACTGTCTTTGTCTATTGTACGATCTTATTCTTCTCGCTCTTGTATCCGAGTCGTACATGAGAATTTGAGAGCTTCCCTTACGAGATCTGAAGGCTATCCTGTACGGCGTGCTGCTTTGGACGTCAGACATTGATCGTATGTGTCTTCGGAATTTAGATTCTCTTGTTAATGGTGTTATTGGTAGCGGTTTAACTGCAGCAGTATCTTCAACAGACCTGGAAATAAAGAAACTGTTAATGATTTGTGAATCCCGATCACGTTAGTTTAGAGAGGGATATGAAATATAAATAATTTTCAGATCATCTTTTATCGGCAATAACGAATTAGTAATATTAATATTACTAATTCGTTATTGAATTAGCTCTAAAAAGTAATGTACCTAAGTATATCTTATTTTGAATTAAGAATTTTAAAATGAAAGTATTACTTTCATATTAACTCATATTTCAATTCTGAAAACCTCAATTTGAGACATGTTGACTTATTTTATTCGGTAATGGTCCAAACCTGGTACTGAAATTACTTCTCGTTTTTTATAAGTTTTTCTTATTAAATAATATGTATGTACAAATAAAGTTTATTTTTAATACAAACGTGCCTAAGACAGTTATGTGACGTTATCATTGTGTTTTTTTGCAATCAATCAATCAATTTATTTCAATTTGTATTTGGCCATCGTGATAGCAAATAAGTGCAAAATGTCTCCGATATCAACAGCCTAGAATATCAAGATAGATGAATTTATGATCAACTGTTGACCATCGACAATATTCATAGCACATAGATACGACCTAATTTAAGATTAGGCATGCTTTAGTTATATTTTAAAATTAAAGTTTTGCTGTAGTATCTAGGCTACATGACACAAAACTGTATGTTCCACTTCAAGGAATTGCAGATTGTTTCAATAATACCACATTCAAAAAATAATCACGCTTAAGAAGTATAAAACAATAAAATATTCTTATACAAAATAAATGAGTTGAATTTGAGTTTAGGTGTAATGTATTTGGTGTAGTATAAGAGCAGTTCCTCCGCAATCGATAATCGAACCCGCTTACTATTGCACTATCTCCACATGTTATGTATACATGTACAATTTTAACTCAATGGAAACCGGAAAGTGAATAAAATTTTGCGAGTTTTGAACCACACTGCCTTACTAACTTGGCAAGTCAAATAAAAGCTTGAAAAAGTCAAACGATCACTCGAATTCTAATCAATAATACTTTACATACTAAACTAAAACTTTACAGTTTAATAATAAAATGATATAGATCTCGCGTGTATTGATAAAGAATCATGATATTTATAAACTTGGCCAATACAGTCCGCTATATCTAATATCATTCGCACGGTTTGTTCAAAAATGTTTTTTTACATAACAAAGTCACATGAGTTCTAAACTTACACTGTCTTTACTTATTTATTTAGGTATTCGTATTAATGTTTAATCATTTTACACTTGATTCCCATGTGGGTAAAATATGTGAGTGATTTCCATTTGTTAAGGTTCTAAGACGAGAACTCATAAGCTTGTTGTGTAAAGTACTTTTGATGTGGAAATTGAACAGTATATATTTCAAATCTGTTATTATTTAAAAACCATATATACTTTTGATGTGGATATTGAACAGTATATATTGTCTGTTATTATTTACGTTTGGAATAGATCACCAAATTCTAATAAAATAATTTCAACTTAATTTTAATATTATTTTGTTATAGATCATAGATTTTTTATGATTGACAAATAAATATAAAATTGGTTTGACTATATGCCCACATTACCTTTTAGATATGTAGATAATATTATGTATTTGAATTTACACCTTTGGCGCAGAATTTATTTCACGTAAAAACACATAACTCTGTACTAAACAACTTGCTATCATCTAAGATACACATCTCTATTCGAGAATCACTGCAATATATACGCTTTGTGCGTCCGGAAGCGCAAGCTTGAATCCACATTTGTAGGTATAATGGACATACCCACAATCCTAATAAACTCTTGACGTCACATTATTCCGTATATAGAATCCGATTGCCTGCATGAAATCTTGGTCAGGGCGTTAAATAATTGTAAACTTCACCTTGAATGAGACATGAGTTGATAGTTGATACCCCATCTAGCACTAGCGTGTACTTTAAATGTGGTCCTCAATTAGAATGTCATCAATTTGGTCGGTGAACTGTGTCTTGTCTTCAAAAGCTTCATAAAATGATATCGTCAGTCTTAATTCATTCATTCCACCTTTTGCCCGTGTAAATCGAATCGTGCCCTTTCAACTTTCATCACGCAACATCTTTCTCATCGTTGCCTAACCTATTCATTTCTCATTCTGTCACTAACTTTTGTGGAATACATTTCCGATCATTAATTTAACTGTCAATATTATAATTATTTACGACAGGAAATGTTTGTATTGTTACTGTCGTTCAAGAAAGATTCTTAATACGCAAATAAAGTAATAGCAAAATATGTATAAAAAGTGAGTATTCATATAATTTTGTTTGTTTATTAATAAGAAATCATAGATAACTGAACTGATATATAATGCAGTTCAAACTACTGGATTGCTACATAAGGTTTTTGAATGCTGCTTCATCACTAGCTCTACTCGTATAAAAGTAACTTTCGCACATTATTACAGACAAAATCAGTATATACAACAGTCCTTAAAATCGACGTTACCATACTGATTTGACATTAATTAGAGCTTAAAGGCGTCATTAAACTTTAATGGACATTTGTACAAATGTTCTACGAGATAAATTATGGAATGAAATGCTTTTTAATGTTATAGAATTAAATCGCTTTGTTGAAAACCATTATAGTACAGGCAGTCACAACGGTTACTATTACAGATCTATCTTGTCAGTGTATGGCAACTAAACGCCTTATAAAAGATAATGCTATTTGGATTAACCTTTATACATAACTTTAGTTTTAACAAGGCTGTTATGATAATATACTAGAATACTCTGAAGAAGATATTGCAGGAGCAATAAATTGACTAATCTTCTATGTCAGTTGATGATTTGAGAGATAAGAATATCTTACTAACAATGAGGAAGATGCTAGGAGAATATCATCTGTCCATTGACAGATGTACTATTGAAGTAACATTTTACTTCCGCAAAACTAAAATAAATGCATAGCCACAACAAATGCATAGTCTAGATTCTAGCCAATTAATTCAACTACTTTATTATTGAACTAGCGGTTCGCCTGACTTCGCACTGTTTTTTTTTAAATACGAATCCCTAATGTTTTTGAAAATATTCTATCGCCTATGTTCACGGAATGTACGATTCTAATGGTAAAAGAATTTGTTAAAGCGATTCAGTACATTCGGTCTTTTTTAATGTAAACAAACAAAACAATAAAAAATTAGATTTTTTAATTCCATGATGCATATTTAGTTTCAAAGAACACTTTTAAATAAATATCAACTAGGAGTTTGTTTTTCTATCAGAAAACTTTTCTGACCGATAGTAGAATAAAGCTAAAATAGATATTCATGTTTAATGTAATTGTAGGTATTCAGGTAGTTTAACCTACATTCTAGCTATTTTGTTACTAGAATAATAAAGATGTTAATTAAGAAATTCTATGGTTATATGTGAAGTACTTAAGTTGGATACGATTTTTATCATGAATCGACTACTTTATTGTTATTTTTTGTAAGTAAACATTATCTATTTATTCTGTAAATTGTTTTTCTTAAAAATGTTATTTAGTTCATATAAAAGATTTTTAATTTAAAACGCCCATCTTAAGCATGGGATCATATATTAGTTTAAAATGATTTTCATTTATTGGGTACAAATTACCCCCTGCGACTTCACTGACCTGGAATTCGAGTTTAACGCCTAGTTAAAGTACCCTATATTCTTTCCTAAGGTCCAACTGGGTACAAAATGTCACTAAAATTGTAAAAAAAAAATCTCTAAAAGTAATTAAGCGTGACAACGTAACACACACACACACACACACACACACACACACACACGCACACGCACACACAGCAGAGTAACTTTATACTAGTATAGATTAATGCAGAATGTCCATGACTTCTACAATAAAATGAAAAGATGATATTAAATAAGTTAATAATATTCTACAATAACATTATAATGTTAGCAACCGCCGTTTGTAAATATATTATTTTCATCTCAGAACGCTAATTTGTATAACTTGTGTTACCTTCAGACGAATACAAACACGTATTTCCGTACGGGCGGCGCGTGCACACCTTTCGTGATAATTTTAAATTAATTTGTTATTATGATGCATATTATATTTAAGACTAGTTAATCTGGCAAACTTTGTACAGTTGCAAAATTGATTAATTTGTCTAATTAAAGGTTAAAAAAAGAGAAGTTCGATGGCGCAGTGGTTAGCGCGCTGGGCTTTCCATACGGTTGTTAAGGAACTTTCGCAATAGCTGGTCATATGATGAGTGACCAAAACTTTATTATTTCAAACTCCTTCGTGCTTTCGAAGTCTCGACAATAATTTTAGAAATACTGAACAGAAATCAATAAGATCACACTACATATTTCCAAGGTATATAACAAAAAGTTTCAATTAAAAATACACTTGCGAAAAGCTGTATCCGGCGACCGTAACGAAAACGATTTTTCCATCACAACAAGTGCGAAAATAATTTTAGAACAACTCCGGAACAAAAGAGAAGCTGCCAATTGTGTTGTAGATATTATTACAAAATTAACAACAATACTAACAGTGTAATTTAAACAGAAAATAAGTTAATATTGACTGTGATTCTAACTATAAAAAAAAGTTATTTTCCATATTTAAAACACCCCGATTCCCCGATAAGGGCTCTTGAGAATGTTTTGGTTAAATCATCAAAGAACTCGTGTTAACTTATTACTGTTAAAACTAAAATGTGTTAACCTAAATGTGTTACTGTATGTATTTTTTATATAAAGATAAATTCGAATACTGCTACTGTATTACTTACATAGAAGTTTTAAATAATTCCAATGTCAAACCACCAGTCGATGTAGACTTTTTTTATAAATGAACCAATCATAGACAAGTTTGAATTAGGTAATTAAAAAGTGAAAATATTAGGAAAAGTTATCGATCCTTCATGGTGCAATGCCTCTAGCTGCAGTGCGGTGTCCAGTCCGGTAAGGTAAGTACATAAGTAGTTTACTGTATGTATCTAGAGATCGT